GATCCCGCCTGAGACGTCCTTGTCGCGAATGCCGCCTGGCGGTTGTTATGCATAGCATTATTCCGTCTGCGACACTCGGGCTCGAGAGAATCGCGTTTGACAACACGCGCCTCCGATTAGTGAAGCGTTGCGCCACCCGCGCATGGATCTTGGCCTGGAAACAGACGAGTCTGACAACGATTCTAACCCTTACGCCCATGGAACTGGCTCATCTTGCCCGACAGTCTAGAGCTCGACCGCCGCAAGAGACAGAGGGCCGAAGCGCAAGAAAGGAGGGAATGGGCTGAACCGCTAGATCTCATTCATGAGGAGATCTCGGAGACTCGGGGCCAACGGGGGACGAGGAGGTTGCGCGATGCCGTTTTGCACGGGTCGTTCGAGCTGGGCTTCAATATTCCAATCCCGACTTCGAGCGAGCCAGGCAAGGATCGTATCAACGTGCGGTTCGATGAGGTCCCCCATTGCACCTCTTTTTTTATACCCCCCTCGTATGGGAATGGCCAGAGTGCGAGGGGGGCCTCCTCGATCCATGCGTTGAGACTTCCCCCCCGGGTATTTGGGCGCCGAGCGCGCGGGGAGCTTGGGGCCACCGCGCTCTCCGTTTCTACAGAACGAGCTCTGAACTCCTAGATGTCAAGCCCGTTGCTGAGGCAACGCAGGCCCCAGCTCCAGCAGAGGCCGACGAGGCCCTAGCCCCGGCAGAAACCGACGAGGCAGCATTCCCAGACGAGGCCCTAGCTACAACAGCAGGGGCCGACGGGGCCTTAGCTCCAGCAGCAGAGGTCGACGAGGCCCTAGCTCCAGCAGCAGAGGCCGACGAGGCCGATGTTGCCCCGCCCCTTGCAGATGCCGAGCTGCTCGAGATGATCGGGTAGACCGACCGTCGCAGCAACTGTGGAACAATCGACCCCCGCCCTTTATCATCAGACAGCTGGCGCTGGCGCCGCTTGCCTGCTCACTGCGGTTGCACTCCTGGCCCTCGGAGGGCCGCTCATGTGATGCTTCGCTGGAGACGTCCTCGCAATCTCTGGTCTCGCTCTCTCTCTCTCTCTCTCTCTCTCTCTCTCTCTCTCTCTCTCTATCGCTCTCTCCCTCTCTCTCTCTCTCTCTCTCTCTCTCTCTCTCTCTGGTTTCTCTCTCTCTTTCTCTCTCTCTCTCTCTCTCTCTCTCTCTCTCTCTCTTTCTTCTCGGGGTCTCTGTTTTCTTCAAATACAGGCCCGATTTAAACCTGTAGATCCCGTGGTTTGTTCTCGCGCACTATGCGATATCGCCCCGCGCGCTGCGCGCCCGTGTGCGAAACAATATCCGTATACGGTTGCCTTAAACAGTGTGCAAATGTGCTACAGTACGTGCCGTGCGGCCGTGGGAAGACAGCGTGCGTCGGAGGATGAATGACGAGAGGAAGGAAGTGAGGTGGTGGAGCGCTAGCGGAATTTTCAGATTGCGCATGAAAAGTGTCCAGTTTAAGTACTTAGCATGAAAATGGTCCACTTTGTAAAGCGCAAAACAAAAAGGGTCCACTTTTTGCTATTAACATAAGAAAGTGTCCACTTTTTGTTCTTAAGATAAAGTGTCTACTTTTTTCATTTAACATAAAACATGTCCACTTTTTGTTTGTAACATAAAAAGTGTCCACTTTCTTTTCTTAACGTAAAAAAGTGTCTGGTTTATGTTTTAACATATTTTAACTTGTTTGCGAAAGTGGACCTTTTTTTGCGTGGGTCCAGTTTCCGGGCCCATCCACCCTCAGGGTAGTCGTAGTCGTAGTCGTAGTCGTCGTAGTAGTAATCGTGGTAGCATTAGGAGTAGCAGTGGTAGCAGTAGTAGCGCCAGATCTGTGGGCCCTCAGGGCAGGCGGGCGGCAGTGGCGACCTCGGGGGAGAAGTGCAAGCGCTGCCGTCGCAGGTCTGTGCAGCCATTGCGCAAGGAGCAGGTCAGCCCGCCTGAATGATGAAACTCTGCAGGCCCACGGCATCGAATACCTCCTATGCCCTCGGGGGGGCTACGTGAGTCCATGTTAAGATCCCGTGCCTGCCACTTTCAAAGGTACTGAACCTTTAGGTCTGCTTACGCCCCAGCTGTAGCAACGCCGCCCTGCCAGCGAGCGCGGTGTGCCCACAGTGGTGCCCCCCTCGCGCCGCGGCCCCTGTTGCTTCAGCCTCCGCTCCTCGCGCGGTCATCTGTGCGCCTGGCCGTTCTGACTTGCCGATTGGCTTGCCGCCCTGGCCTCCTCTCACGCCTACTTGCGCTCGTGGGCCTCGCTGGCGGCGCTGGGGTCGCCCCGTGTGCTGCCGCGACGCCGCTGGGCGCCTAGCCATTTTGGCCTGCCATCCTGGCCTCTTCTCGCGCCTACTCGCGCTAGTTGGCCTCGATGGCGGTGCTGGGGTCGCCCCGTGTGCTGCTGCGCCGCCGCTGTCGCTTTACTTTGGGCCGTAGGGGCCAGCTGCCCTCGGATAAGCGCCCGCCGCTGCGTGCACGTCAGACCCGCCCTTTCACCCAG